TGCAATATATCCTTACTTCTCATAAAGGTTTTAAAAACTATGTTTGACTATCTAATAGCCAAAAATGAAATGATATTAGCATTATTCTATTGAAGTAAATAAATATAATTTCTAAATGCATGCTCTAATCTAAATTGACAATATAGCCTCCCGGCCATAAAAAGCGTGCTTGTGTGTGCGTGTGGTTTTTTTTATTATTTTTCTGTTGGATCGAGATCAAGCCAATAATTAGCCTGCCAGTTTTTTCTGTACAAAATATAAGCCCCCACAGACTAAAGGACTTAAAATAATACCACAAAATCATTAAAGATTATACTAACCTTGGACTGATACGATCTCTTACGCTTATACCATAAACGAAATAATGTATAAAAAGCATCATTATCGTAAAGATTGTTACCTTGAAACTCGGAGACTGTGATTAGAGTTTTCAACCACTCTTCATGAAGAGTGGTAACTCCAATCGTCGTTCGCTCAATCTGAAGTTCTCTCTGATGGTTTTCTTGAAGCTGCTTCAAGAGCTCGACCTGAAATTCCAGCCACTGTTGCTACTTGCAGCCCGTACCATGGCGAAGGCGGTCTAGAAAAACCAGCTCTTGGCCCTTGAATGTGCAGGCCATGTGTTGAAGCATGACGTGAGGATGAGAGGCAAACTCCTTTGTTAGAGGGTGGTAGTGAGTAGCAAATAGCAGTCGACAGTTCACCTTTTCAATGAGATGGGGACGCACCTGATGAAACAATTTATAGATAAAGTTAATTTCGAGTTTATACAACTTTTCAATGACATGTCTTAAATGTTCAAAACTTTCAGAAAAACATCTTGAACTCTATTACATACTTTTCAAAATGACTTTTCATAAATATTTTTAAATTACTCCTAGATAAGAAAAATTAATAAAATATTGAACAAGTTAATTTCTTCTATCTATAATTTAGTAAACATATAAACTAGAAAGAAATTACTGGTACGGTCGAAAATTTTATGCTCAAGAATAATCGTCAAGGAGACGAATCAAAAGGGATACTTACAGCATAGGCAATGGCATAGCCATTGAAGGCGCCAGTTCCACGGCCAAGTTCATCAGGAATAACAAGAGAATCTTGAGTAGCATGTTGAAGAGCTGAAGCTGTTTCTGAACATTCAACAAGGAAATCAGTTCGGGTCGGTTTAGAAGCGGAAGTCATTAATCGCAACAGTTATATGATAAGACAAATTTACCATCAGACTCGACGTGATTAATAAGCCCTCCAAGAGCACATAGATCAATGTCATCATGGAATGTGCTTTCATTTGTATGAATCAGAAGTTTTAGCATCTGAAGCTTCTAGAAAACCTGAAGTGTTGACCCTGATGTGGATTCTAGAGCAGTGGAACCTGCAGGATGAGTAGAATAAGAACGTGGAGAATATAACCATTATAGCTCAAACATGGTGAAACCAAGGCTATTTTTCAACCCACTTCCAAACAACTCCCTCGTCGTTAACAAGAACATAAGAGATACTCGAGAAACCCATGGTCAATACAAAGCAAATACATCAAAACACATAAATATGCATTTCAGTTCACCAAAAGTCAATCACGTTCAATTTAAATCTCATGATTTTAGAACAATGTATAATAGAATTTCAGTAACTTAATAATTGAATAAATAGTTAGTACAAGTGAACACTAACCACTAGGAATTTGACATTAGAAAAAGAGGAAAGACATATGTATGACACGTGATAAATAAAAAGAAAAAACGCGACCTTTTCACTCTTCAAAATAAGTTTTCTATTATAAAGACACAAAAAGAACCAACCAGTTGGCAAGTATTTCTTGAGAACTTTGTGTTTCTTAAGATAGTCCAACAAACAATAAATTGTGGAAGTTGAGGTAAAATTTTCCGAAGATAAATATATCAATCAATTAAATGAAAACCTAAAGTCCGAGGTGGAGAGGAAAGACTCACCACGAGATTCATATATTATTTCTTTTGGAGGCACCTAGAGAAACCACAAATGTACATATTACTATCATATTTGCAGAAGCAAATAACAGAAATGCAAAAATGGACAATTTGAATTGCCTAATTGCATCAAGAGAGTGCCCAGAGCAGCACAGGAAGCACCATAATGGATAGAACCAGTCCAAAAATTGAAAGCAGCCCAATCAATAAAAGCAATGAGATTTAATATGTTAATTCCCCGGAATAGATCCCTCAAACTGCTGATTAACTGAGAACTTTTATAATTTTGAAAAAGAACAGATAAGAGAAATAACTGAGCCTCGAACCCAAAACTGAAAGGGAAAGGGACAATTTAAGTTATTTAGAACCACAATAGTCGTTTTTCCAACAAACTGGATGGGAAAATGCAGAATCAATATCCGTATATTTGCGACCAATGAATATGCAGAATCAATATCACTGGCAGCCATAAATTTGCGACCATTAAATATGCAGAATCAATATCCGTATATTATCTGAAGTAACATACTTACAGAATTTGCACATCTGGTTTTTGTTTGATCCGAAGATTCCAACTGCTCAATTCGCCCAACTTTACATCTTCATAAAGATTGTCACAGAAAAGTGTTAGCCTCACCTTACATGCTCAAAATAAATAGCACAAAAACATCATGCTAATGTAAATTTGCATGAAGGTTTTTATTAAGCTATAATGTCCCTGGTTCACTCATTTTCTGTTTGGTCCCCTTTGCTCTCTCTACAGATACATCATCAACAAAACGACAGAGTTCTCAACATCCTTACTCTCATGCAACGAGCTTTTGGGATATCGTTGGTATATGCATAACTTAAAAGATGAAGAAATAGATAGACTGGTAAAAACAAGTGTTAGAATTTTATCTAACCTGCCTGCATTTCCCAACGCCACTTAATGTCATTTTCCAGTCAAGCTCCTTGTGACCGATTTCAGCATCTTGTTCATAAAGCTCATAGAACTTGCCCTGAGATGTGCAAAAGAGATTTCATAATCTTAGATTTATGAAATAAAGGTAGTGTACAATTACACATTGAAAAGCATCCACCAACCAAAGCAAAGTCTCCTAGGAGTATAACCAAAGTATAAGAGGGAGGATCGTGACTAAGATAGAGAAAAATATGTTCTGTACCTTATTAATCTATCAGTGCATGTGCTTAGAAGAAAGCACAGAAAATATAAATCTCAATCAAAAGTCAAGAACGATTCCTGAATTTGGAGAAAATGTCGGCCATTAAAAAGGTGAAGACTACTATTCCTATTCCTAGATTCATATTCACCATTTTCTTCTTTCTTTCTTTTCATCTCTGCTTCAAATGGATCCAAAATGGATTAAAACTTATTATCATTTCAACGATTAAAACCAAATCCTGGATAACAAAACTCATTTAGATTACCGTTCCAAATTAACCTTTGTACAAATGATATTAATAATTCATATGGTTGCAAATTGTGGAGATACACTAATTTAGCATGGTAAAATGAAATCGACAATTATTCAGAGTAAAGACATATATCAATTTCAGGAGCTAATTCATGCAATGATACTGTTGGACAATATAAACAAACCGCTGACACATTTTCTTCAGCACATCAGTTGGTATGTATAGTGTTTTATCATTATAAAGAGGATAGCCAGCCTTTCTACCATTAGAATCTTTGATTTGAGAGGTTTGCTGGTTGCATCAGAAACTTCATTGAGAATATTGGCCAAGTTCATTTTGTAATGAAGGAGTTTAACTATTTTGGTAGTTTTACCAATCCTCGAGATAAACCTATTGAGATCTCTTCGAACGGGATACAGAAGGTCGCATGCCTGGTGTTTCGAGTCCAACAAGGTCATCGTCGCTTTCAATATTCTAGACAGGTGTTCAACGTCCGTTTAAATTTGCAATGTATAGAAGCTACCTCTAGTTTTGGAATTTCTTTTGGATCTAATATCGGCAGAAGAAATGCAACGTAACTAAGAAGAACCTTTCCGAACCTCGTTCTGATATGAATATTTTTTAACCTCGTCTCTAGGATTCACTAAGACATAATAAAATGCAACTCAATCATAGAACGATCTACGAAATTGAAAAGCATGTCTATAATGCATTTGATTTTTACAAAAACTAGAGACGGCGATGCAACAATGTTACAGAAACAGTATTCTACAAGATACGAATGGAGAACACAGAATGTAGTCTATCATATCGACTAGAAATCCAAAAACGCATTGGCTTAGTTAGTTTAGCTTCAACATTACCTCTCGTCCGCCTTGCGTTTATCGTCTACTCTCACAAATCTATGCATGATGCTCGAAAAGAGAGAAGAGCCTCTATTCTTCTCCATCGAAAAATCTTCCAAGACACCTTCTCCAGTGGAGCGTCGGTTCCTTAATCTCCTGGGAGGAATCCGCGGTGGTTTGGATATCAAACTGCTCCAAACCGACAAAGCTTTGTTTCGCCGGAAAGCGAGTGAACCGCAGGCTAATGTAGGAGGCACCGCCATCGGAACTCCGATTATCGAACGGAGATTTTAGGAAGAAAATTAACAAAGATTTCGCGTTTTTCGCGATGAAGTTGTGGAAACTTCGCTAGAACAGGAGAGAGCATTATAAACGTAAATTGCAATGGTTGAAAATGGCGCCAAAACGATTGCAATTCCGTGAATAATCAATTTATTATTTATACTGAAATATGGCTTAAATTACATTTTTAGCCTTTCTATTTTAACTATTATTTCCGAGTTTCCTTTTTGTTTCTCTTTATATATAATTACAATTCATTTTATATATAATTTTCATATTTATTAAAGAAACCTTTAAATTTATAATAATTACAATCCTTGCCACGCACGCATCTCATTCCCACCGAAAAAAGACCCGACGAATATAAACGAACGAGGTGCCACGTCATCGTCTTCCAAATAGAAACCTCAAGAACGTTCGAGAAACAGCAAGCACTCCAAAGCGATGAAGAACTTTCCAGAGAAGAACTCCGCTATAAAATCCAAAAGCCCCCATCAAATAAACATTCAAAACAAAATCGATCAAAATCTCTCCATATTCCATCATAGTTCCTTCCATTTCCTAATCAATTTCTAATCGATCGATCAACTTCTAATCTACCAATGCCGAGCCGATTCCCGGGAGCCATATCTCAAGATTGGGAGCCTGTAGTGCTCCACAAGTCCAAGCCAAAGGCGCAGGACCTTCGCGATCCAAAGGCCGTGAACCAAGCGATTCGATCCGGCGCGCCCGTCCTGACCGTGAAGAAGTTCGACGCCGGTTCGAACAAGAAAGCCACAGCAGCGCCGGTGAACGCGAGAAAGCTCGAGGAAGGAACCGAGCCGGCGGCGCTCGACCGGGTACCGACGGAGGTGAGGCATGCCATTCAGAAGGCGCGGCTGGAGAAGAAGATGAGCCAAGCGGAACTTGGGAAGCAGATTAACGAGAGGACTCAGGTGGTGCAGGAGTATGAGAATGGAAAGGCTGTGCCGAATCAGGCCGTTTTGGCTAAGATGGAGAAGGTCTTGGGCGTCAAGCTTCGAGGCAAATCTGGAAAGTAATTTCGGAAGCTGTACCAATGGCGGTTTCATGTAATTAAAATGGACCGTTAGTTTAGGTTTTGTTGTTTGGTGACGGTGATCCGTTTGGGATGATTAGGAGAAAATTGGGCTGAGATGGGAAATGGGCTTTTTATTTGTAATAATTTACATTTAAAATGCTTTTTATGTCGGAGAACCCAATGTATAATATTATCTACTTTGCATATCCAAAGCCCTTTGGATTTAGCATAAGCTCTGATTTGGATTTCTCGAATATATAAATTGAATATATATAAATTCATGATATTTCTTTAAATTGGATGAGGTAAAAAAATTTCTATCATACATTGGATGAGGTAAAAAAATTTCTATCATACACAAGGGCGGCCTGACTCGAAATGGACAACGGAAGGGCCTGACTCTAAGATCAGGCCGAAAGGCGTAGTCGATGGACAACGGGTGAATATTCGAGTATTCTGATATGGCTAGCTAGAACCACAAAAACTCCCATCTCACTCCCATCTCACTTTCTCAATTTTTCAAAATAATAAAATGTAGTAGTGAAGAGTAATATTATCAGCTCAATTTTTAAAATTACAATTAATTTGATTTAATTAGATTTAATTAGATTGTAACACGTGGCAAAAGCTATATTATCCCCTAATTAACAAAGCAAATTATATTTATAAGTAAATAAAGAATAATGAATTTCAAGTATTATAATAGCAATTTCTTCACCAATAAACGGAGAAAAAACTACAAAATAAAATAAAAATTACATATCCAAACGCCGTAAGAATTATCAATGGAAAATGTAGGTAACCGCGAGAGCAACCATAAGAAGAACGTAAGCAATTCCTTGGTCAATTGCAGCGCCTGCAACAACAAACAATAACACAATAAATTGTAAATTCAATCCCTTAATTTCAATAAAATTTCAATTTGGTTATTATCATTTTAAAAATTTTAATTTAATTCTGATTTCTATTTATTTATGACATGATTGTTCTAGTTTAGGGAATCACATGTACGTGAGACAAAGTCAAGAAGCAGTAAAAATCACTAAGACTCCAAAGGAGTCGAGCCTAAAGGGAGGCGTGTTTTTGTTCGCGGAGAGGTGTTAAATGATGAAAGAAAAAGGAGACAAGCTTCTTTGAAGGTAGTAAAAAATGACTAAGACTCCAAAGAAGTCAATTATTGATTAAGGGGAGACGTGTTTTTGTTTGAGGGGAGATGTTGGATGATGAAAGTCTCACAACGACTAATTTAGAGAATGATCTCATGCGACTGTGGAGAATTTTATGTGACAATAATTCTAAAACGTACATTGAAAATTTTGAAACTAAAAAAAATTAATTGAAAGTAAATTCAAAACTAAAATTCAAATCTGAAATTAAATTGTAACTTTTTAAATCGAAAATTTACCGAAATCCACCAAATTTTTAGTCTAACGAAAAATCAACGCCAGAACTCGCCGGAAAACTCACCGTCGCTCGAAGGACCCGCCGCCGGGGAAATATCGTGGGAGTGACCGTAAGCCAATTGCAGAAGAATCAAGAACACGAAGCCGACGATCGGAACGGCTGTTAGCTTCATCGGACTCATCATTCTCGAGTGGAAGCGAAGAATCTCTGAAAAATGTTAACAAAATTTATCTTCTCTTGAATACGAAGAGGATCGGAAATAACAGAGAACCTCAAATTGGAGTTGATTTGGATTTACAGATTGAAAATTAGGGTTTTATACGAACAAAATTGGGGATTTTTCCAGGAAACAGGACGCGAATTTGGACGAGTCAAAAACGCGAATTTGACTGAGTTGGCGGCTCGTTGACTTGGACACGCCTACGATTGCGACTTAACGTGGGACGGCGACGGGCAATTTGAGAGGATGCCTCGTGGCCTGAAGTTCCGTATTTTAATTTTATTTATTTATTAAATTACAAATTTACTATTTAGATAGTACAATTTTTTTTTAAATATTAGTCTTTATTATTTAGGAGAGCTTTATATAAAATAATGGCTATTTATAAAGTTTTATGAGATTATAGAAATGAAATTTATATTTTTTTTAAATGATTAAATTTATAATTTAATTTCTTTGGTAATAATTTTAATATTGTTGTTTTTAGACCAAAATTAAAAATTTTCAACGATATAAGTTTTAGAAATGGAGAAAGAAAACAAAATGTTAATGGAGAAAGAAAACAAAACGTTTGTTTTTATTTGGAAGTTATGAGATGAATTAAATTGTACGTAATTTGTAGTCAACTTACCTTCTCTCTATATAAAATAGTCAATTTTTTAATGTGTGATTTGACTAAATTAATAAAAATATTTAATTTTATATCTAATCTTAAAAATACATTAAAAATTTCACTAAAAAATTATATTTAAATAGTCTAAACTAATAACATATTTTTAAAATTTAAGAAAATACCACAAAAATAAAACAACTCAACAAAAATAAATTAATTAGTTCAATTAGCACCCAAAAAAATAAAATAATAATAATCTAAAGGCCAAAAACATTTCTTATTACACAAATTAAATAAATAAAAGAAGATATAAGCAAGTTCGAACCTTGGAATGGAATATAGAAAGTTTTCCTCATCCTTGAAAATATTAAGAAACTTGGAAATTGAACTTAAAAAAGTCTCTTTTAAAGCGAGATGGGGATGGGGTAAGTCGAGGATTGGGAACGAAAAATATAATCCTCACCTCCAGTCTCATTTATCTAACGAGAATAAATCTTTCTCCACTCCCTCCTTTATTAAATAGACATCTCTATTCGTCAGTATAGACCTTATCCACGGACTCACAACAACACGAAAATGACTCACAACAACACGAAAAAAAGGCCTTAACTTCGAAAAAATAAATTAAAAAACACCAACCTCGCCTGATTCTTGCGAAATTCAAAAGAAAATAAAAATAAAAAAGAGAGGACTAAAATTGAGACGAAAGATAAAATTAGGAGACAAAAAACCAGACAAATTTTGGGTTTGACAAAGAATGTGTAAGGAGCTGCAATAATTGAAAGATAATAACTAATAAGGTTGACAATTAAAAGAGATAGAGGTATAATCTAACCACCTAAACTCATTCCCACCCTTGTTCTAAAGGGGTAGGCCATGGCTATTTGCCTTTTCTTCTCAATACATAAGCTAAACCACTTCAATATGTTCCTAAAAAGACACCACTCTATTTCTTATCACCGGTAACAACTCAAACCCACCGCTAACAAATGTTGCCCGTTTTGGCCCATTACGTATCACCGTCAATTTCATGGAATTAAAATGCATATAATAGAGAGAAATTTCCACACCCTTATAAGACATATTTCGTTTCCCTTTCCAACCAATGTAGGATCTCACAATCCACCCCTTGGGGACCTAGCATCCTCGTTGGCACACCGCCCTGATACCATTTGTAACAGCCCAAGCCCACTACTAGCAGATATTATTCGCTTTGGCTTGTTACGTATCGTCGTTAGCCTCACGGTTTTAAAATGCATCTACTAGGGAGAGGTTTCCACACCCTTATTAGGAATGATTCAATCCCCTCTCCAACTGAGGTGGAATCTCACATCAGTCATCTAGAAGCTAGATTTGTGAAAGATTCAAAAACCAAGGTTGATAGAGACTAAAAATTGAACAGTTCATGCAAGCAAAGTTTGGTTGAAAATCCATGTGTTTCTAAAAAAAGGAAGGAAAAAAAAGCTGCACAGACGAACTAATTTTGGAATTAAGAAGCCGAACGAAACGGTTTCGGACCGTTGATCTAGTTAATGATCTAGATCAAGTGTCCTGTTACCTAAGATCTCAACAGTAATACATACGGATGAAGAAGATCAGTCTACTCTACATGCCAAATCTGCAACAAGAACGACGAGTTATCGAGCAAAGAACAAAACATAGATAAACGCTTGCGCACGAACACACAAACGTATTAGATAGATTCCATTGCATATAAAGTTGAGATAAATTAAAACCCTTATTTCTTTCTCCAAAACTTTAGAGAATTAGGACATAAGCTTAAGGCATGTTACATGTATTTTGCTTCATGAACATACCATTAGGAAGATCCAAGAGTTTCCTTAGGAGAAAGAGACGCCACAGGCTTGTTGGCAGGCATTGATTTTGATCGTTTCATCCACGCCGACGATGTCGAACGATGAAGCCGACACCTAAAGGAGCCTTGGTGCATCGTGGGCGAGCACAAACACTGGCCTTTCGGCGAACTGGACCTCATGGTCTCAGCATCTCTATTGTCGTGTTTAGGAGATGCGGAAACCACAACGCTAAGGCTGCCATTGGAGGCCATATCTGCAGACTGCAAGAAGTATGGAAATTCAAGTATTTAAAAGAGCAAAAGATTTGTTAATCACATTATAAACATGATGATGTTGCCATTCTAGGATATATCAGTATCTTCCACAATTTAAATACAAATCAGAAGATCAAAACTATAGTTTTTTTTTTTTTTTTTTTTTTTTTTTTTTTTTTTTTTTTTTTTTTTTTTTTTTT